CTCGTAATCCCTAGCACTTTGGGACGGCCCCCGAGGCGGGCCGGATTTGCCCCTCAAGGTCAGGAGTTGCGAAACCGAGCCTGAAGCCGAGACCGTCTCTACCAAAAAATAGAAAGACAATTAATTGGACACACCTAAATCAATATCCCATTGGTAGGCTTTAGACGCTCAAAGTATACTGTTAGCTCGGCATTCCGTGCCTTGGCGGCTATGTCCTGAGTTCCGCCCAGCTACTCGGGACTTGACCCGTGCACGCAGTGCTGCATCACTCGTTCCGGCGCTCCACAGGAGTTGGAGCGTTTGCTTGTGAGCCATGGCTTGACACGCCAACGGCAACTCGTCACTTCCTAGCCCTGGCGCGAACAGTATAAGTGACTGTCTGGATCTCCGTCCTGTCCTCCAAAAAAAAAAACCATATGAAAAAATCTATCAATATGAAAGTTGGTCACGTATGTCTCTCCCTGTCCGTCGAGCCCCGGGCGTGTCTGGGTACCGGCCGCACATGCCTGTCGTCCCAGCGCGCCCACTCGGCTGAGCTGTGCGTGGAGGCTGAGCGCGCTGGAGCGCTTCCGCTGCGCGGAGGCCAGGAGTTGGAGGCTGCTCGTGAGGCGAGCTGACGCCACCGGCACTCACTCCAACGTCCCGGTGCGACAGAGCGACGACTCTGACTCAATAATACATAATAATAATAATAATACCGTATTATAGCTGGTCTCATCAATTTTATTTCAGGGCTCTGCCAACCTTGGAGCCGTATTAATCGGACCGGTTAAGTCCTGATCCGGTGCCAGGCGCGGCTCTTCCCGCTCTGTCAGCAAGTGCCCAGGATGGCAGAGCACGAGAGGAAACGGCGACAGTCCCCCCGCCCGCAGACCCGAAAAAACCCACAGATGCGTCGTGCCCGTCCCTCGCGAAATCCGATAGGGGGGCGCGCGCGCCGTGCGGGGCGCCGCCCCGTCTGTGCTGTCCAGTGTCTCTCCGTCTCCTGGGTCCGTCCCGTGAATACCTGACCGGCGCGTTCCCATGCCGGGGCCCCGGTTGCTCCAGCTGGGAGCCGGGCGCGTCCACTCCGAGGCATCTGTCCGTGAACGGCACGCTCTCGACCCTGTCCCGTGTCGTGTTCCTGTCGTAACAATCCGGCCCCCAATCTGTCTCCATACACAGACACCTATAGTAATAATGTAAAATTTCACTTCCTTTTGTTAATTTTTTTTTTTTTTTTTTTTCCTGAGACAGAGTCTGGCTCCTTGTCGGCTCCCTACCGTCCGTTTGTTGACTGGATCCAGCGCTCGCTGTTTGCGTGTCCCCATCTCGCTCAGCCGCTCACACTCTCCGCGACTCGCCTGCTCCTGCGCCGGAGCATCGTTGCTATGCTCTCTCTCCGTCCGCCTCGGCTCTCCTCCACCTGGTAGGCGCGCGACCGACAGGTGTGTGCCACACCCGGCTGGCTTATAGTTCTGTTCTTCTTCACCGGTACTGATGCCGTCTCTCTGTCCCGTTTACCGTTGGCCCGGCCCTAAATATTTCTACTATACTGTCTGTCCTCTCCGCCGGTTATATACCGTTATCATCCTCATACCGTCCGTCTCTCAGTCCGCCCTACGATTAATTATGTTTCTATTTATAGTAGCATGTCTCCGCAGGGTCAGGGCGCGCGGCCCCCAAAACTCCTGAACTCGACGGCGATCCTCCGCCTCCGGCCTCCCTCCCCGAGTAGCTGGGACTAACACCGCGTGCAGGTGGCCATGAAGCACCCGTCGGCGGTGACGGCCTGCAACCTGGACCTGGAGAACCTGGTGACGGACGGGAACCGCAGCATCGCCACGCTGGCCATCACCACGCTGCTCAAGACGGGCAGCGAGGCCAGCGTGGACCGGCTCATGAAGCAGATCTCCTCCTTCATGTCCGAGATCTCCGACGAGTTCAAGGTGCCCGGGCCTCCGCCGGGGGGAGGGAGGGAGGCCCACAGCCTCCACCCAGGGTGAATGAGGCCTGCTGCCTCCGCCAGGGTGAGGGAGGGAGGCCCGCGGCCTCCACCAGGGTGAATGAGGCCCACGGCCTCCCACTAGTGTGAATGAGGCCCGTGGCCTCCAAGAGAGATCCATCTGTCCGTCCCGTCTGTCTCTCTGTCCGTCCATCCCACTCCCGTCCGTCCTGTCCATCTGTCGTCCATCTTCTGTCCGTGCTTGTCTCCTCCGTCCGTCTCGTCTGTCTGTCTCTCTGTCCATCTGTTCCGTCCGTCTGTCTCTCTGTCCGTCCATCCTCCTCCGTCTGTCATGCTTCCGTCCATGCCTGCCGTCTGTCTCCCATCCGTCCGTCTGCCTGTCTCTCTGTCCATGCCGTCGTCGTCCGTCCGCTCTCTTCCGTCCATCCGTCTGTCTCTCTGTCCGTCTGGTCTCTCTGTCCCGTCCGTCCTGCGTCCCGTCTGTCCGCCCCCCAGGTGGTGGTCGTGCAGGCGATCAGCGCGCTGTGCCAGAAGTACCCGCGCAAACACCCGCGG